CTTTCGGTTTCACCTCCTGGATTAATAGATAACTTTGGCAAAGGACAGCTCTAGCTTTACTGAAAGCAGTCACTGGCAGGGTTCAAAGGTTGCAGGCAGCCACAACCAGCACGGCCAGATACTCAGAGGGACTGGATTCTGGGCTCCAGGTAGTACATTCTGCTTCTTTAAAGTAGAGCTGTCTTATTTGGTTCTGTTGGGGGTGCTGCTCAGAGCTGGGCCAGCCCCATGCTGGTGGCTGCTGGGATTGCTTTAGCCCTCACTCTGGAGCAGAGCCATTTGGGCATTTACACACTTCAGACCCTCCCCTGGGGAAAATCTTACAGCTTTTCTTCTAGCCCAGCGGCTCAGCTCTCTGCTCCCTTTGGCTTTCTCTATCTCGCTAACTAGGCCTGCCCTGCGTTGAGTATCAATGTTTGCGTGCCAGCCCAGAGGATCGCTGGAGATCAGTGTGTTACAGGGGATGAACACACATGTGCTTCTTAAGCCTGAGTTTCTCTGCTGTGTTCATGCTGCTGCTGGTTCTTACCCAAGAGCACTTCTTGCAACTTCTGAATCCTGGTCCCAAGCCTCCTTTCTGGCTTGGCTGTATGAAGAAGTGTCTTTAGGACACGAAGGCTGGGATTTGAAAAGCAGCCCAAGTGATCCAGGGATGCTACTGTCATTGAATTTCACTGGGATTCAGGTGTCTTACTCCCCCAGACGTCACTGAAAAATCCAGATGCTGTAAATATATAGTTTTCACGTGACGGGCATGGCTTCCTAGTCACAGTCTCCCATTTTATCTTTCCCTGAGTGCAAGAATTACTTTCATTTTTAATAGCTGTCCCTCCCTCCCAGGGCTGCATGTTCTGCAGTTGAATCTTGCCTCATGAATGGTCAGTTCATTTCTTCCTGTGTGTTTCCTTCTGCTCCCTCTCCCTGATGCAGGGATCAACCCTGAATTTTCACCAGAGGCCATTAGTAGTGGTGCCAGTTCTTGTGATTTTGGTGTTTTCCTTAAATCTGTAGCTCCTGGACTCCTGTGATCATGCGAGGCTCTCAGCTGTCATAAAAAAGTAAGTTTCTAGAGCTCTTGGTTGCAGAAAAAAAGCTTGAAAATGTGAACTATGTGTGATTTAAAAGCTCAGAAGACAAAAGGTCTGAAATGCTCTTGCACTGGTCATAACAGCAGGTCTGGGTCAGTGTTATAGATTTTAGGAATAGTTAAGGTAAAGAAAAAATGTCTTTTCCTAGGAGTAGATCTCTCCCCTTTCCTTGAATGTCCTGTTGAAATGAATGAGGTGTGAATGGAGACTGAAAGGTGAGCACCTCCAGCAGCAGTTGCCAGGGTAGAGAGGGGCTGGGAGCCAGATCCAAGACTGGGGCTTGGGCTGCCATTTTAAAACCAGCATGTGACAACCCCGTGACATCCCTCCTTTTCCTGTGTTTTATATGTGATGTCTCCAAACGCAGAGCCCTCTTGTGCTTCCCTTTCCAGGTGCCCTGGGATCCATGTTCCTGGTTATTGAACTGCCAGCTGCTGCTTTTTGTTGTGTTCATATCCGGGTCTTCTGAATCTGCTTTTCCGTTTCACAGCAATGGGTTTCTCAGGTCCCTGGACTACAGCCGTTCACGTGCTGTTGCTAGTGCTGGCCCTCCAGTCTGCTGAAGGTAAATTCATGGTGCTTATTATTGATATGCCCAGCAACAGTTTGTACTCATATGCTAATTTTAGAAGTTGTGAGCATATCTGAATTTGTATCTCCCTTTCCATTACCGTTCATTGCCATCCTGTTAGGAGACATAGCTGATCGCTAATCTTTCATGTTCAGGGGTAGGGGTGTATTGAACACAGGTTGAAATTACAAGCTATGACTTTGAGTTTTAGAATTTTTTTCTTGGCCCTGGTTACAGGCAGTAGAAGTGTGTGCTCTAAGTCTATCAGCAGGCAGTCTGGAAAGAGACAGCCTAGAGCAAGTTGGGGTGAGTTAGGACTCTGCCTCAGGGAGCAACCTGCTTTGTCTCTCTCTGTTTTGTGGGTTCTTCTGTGCTATGATCCTGAATTCTAAGAAATAGTGCAACCTTGCAACCTTCCGTAAGAGTATTTTATGGTTTTTATCTAATCTCACTTTTGAAATGTTACACTGCTATGCAATGTAACACATGGTAATCCTGACTTATATTTAAGGAAATAGTTTGTTAATGTCATTGAATTTTTTTACTGTTAGACTAATGTAGAAGTTAAGAACTTCATAAAGTTCCCCACTGCCTCCTCTTCTTTGGAAGCTCACAGAAGGAGCAGAGCTGTTAACACTGTAGTGAGTTTAATTCTCTTTTTCTGCTAGACAGCCCTTTCACGTGGTATGCTGCAGATCGAATGGTTACAATGCTCCTCTTGAATGTCTGAGCCCTTTGAGCCTCTCCCTTTCAAGGAACAGAAAGAACTATATGAGATGGAACCCATCTGGCTAGAAGGAGCCACTTAAGTGAAAAAACGATTTCAATATCCTGGATTTACTTTTATATTTTCTCTTCAGCTAGCAATTAGAAAGCCACATGCCATCTTTCTCTTACCTTTCTCTGTCTGTCTGTCTGTCTCTCTCATGCAAGCCATTAACTTTGTTTTCAGGGCCACGTTTAAAGAAAAGATGTACTCTAGTTTTCAAGGACACTGTCATATATGGAAAGTTGAAAAGATAGTAACAAGTATACTGTTTGGGATTTTTTTTGATGAAATGTTGTTGTAAAGAAGATATTTATTGAAACTCAAACTGGTCAAGGCAAGGTGGGTGAGGTATTATCTTTCATTGAACTAACTTCTCCTTGTGAAAAAGCCAAGTTTTTTAGGTTACCCAGAGTTCTTTTTCAGGTCTCTCTTGGCAAAAGAAGTAGTCACCCTCATTACTTTTCCCTGACCTGAAGAAGAGCTTGGTGTTACCTCAAAAGCTTTTCTCTTTCACCAGGAAAAGTTGATCCAATCAAAGGTATTACCTTATCTACCTTGAATCGCTATTACGAAGGATAAAAATGGCTATAACAACATTGCATGAAACTGAAACAAAACATTTGAAAATCATCAGAATGAAACATTTAATTTTTTCCCGAAAATTTTATTTTTCCCCAATTCCAGGAGAGAGGAAAAAAAAGTCAGGCTCCTAAAAATGTTCACAGGATGGTAAAACTCTTGCCTATCCAGCTCTAGTAACAAGGCATTTTGGAGCTAGAGCAAGGGGGCTCAAACTACAAGTCGTGACCCAGCACTGGGGGGTGGAATGTTGGGCACTGGGTCTCATTGCTGCAGGGTGATCAGGTGACAAATGGGGGGGATAAGGCAGCTAACTGCCTGTCCTGGCCCCCCAGACTATGCTGCACCCCAGAAGTGGCTGGCAGCAGGCCTGGCTCCTAGGTGGGGGAGAGAGTGCAGTGTCCCTGCTCTGAGCACTAGCTCCATGCTCCCATTGGCTGGGAAGCTGCTGCTGGCTGCTTCTGGGCACAGAATGGTGTGCGGTACCAGGAGAGACAGGAAGCTGCCTAAGCACCTCTGCTGCACTGCGGATTAGGAGCTGTTCAAAGTAAGTCCTTCTTACCCTAGCCATGACATCTCCCAAAGCTGGAGCCCCCTCCTACACCTCAAAGCTCCCACCCTCATTCCCATCCCAGAGCCCATACTCTAGTCCACTTTTTCTCAGCCTTTTTTTTTTTTTTATAAAAAAACCCCTTTTTAAAAAAAATCTTAAATACCCCCTTTTAAAAAATGTAAGTACAGGCAGTCCCCGAGTTACGCGGATCTGACTTATGTCAGATCCATAGTTACGAATGGGGTTTGCTTCGCATCTCCCTGGTCTGCTGGAGGCTAGCAGACCAGGGAGACGGGGAGCAAAGCCTCTGAGGACGCCGGCAGCAGGACAGCCGCGGCACGTCTGGGCTGTCCGCTGCCTGCGTGCTCCGCCACTTTGCTTCATCTCCCTGGTCTGCTGGAGACCAGGGAGACGGCCCCGTTCGTAACTGCAGATCCGACATAAGTCGGATCCATGTAACTCGGGGACTGCCTGTACTGCAGATAGTTACAAGTAATCTGTTGAGCCTTATGGAGATCAATAGCAATTAATTAAATCCTCTATTAATAATGTATTAACTTGTGACAGAGTATAGGGAGTTAACAGATGAGCCTGCACTCTGATCACTCTCACACCAATTGGTTCCCCAGAGAAGGTTGATTGGGGGTAATAATCAGGTGTGGGCAGGACAGCCCACAGACTTCCAGGCTCTGGGCAAAGTAGGGGGTGTGGGACAGGGCCCCCGGAAGGGGTGAGGCTTTGGGCAAAAGAGGTGATGCCTGGGAGCTAGCCTTCACCAGCTATCCCTTCAGCATTGCTGTGGGCTTCTGCAGTGATTTGAAAAGCCCAGGGCTGCCATTACCACTGTAGCAGTGGCTGGGAGGGAACGCCAGGCCCTTTTAAATCACCAGGTCCTGGGACAGCTGGCCCCTTTGCCCCCTCTATTGGAGCTTGAAAACCTTTGAATGTCTGCACCAAACATCCATGTCTTGTTGCCTTAGAAGGGCAGAGTGTTAGAGCAGGGCTGGGCAAGAGGCTGTCAACAGGCCAGATCCAGCCCATTTACCCCTTTCATCCAGCCTGCAGCAGCTCCCAGCCACACCCCCTAACAGGTTTCCTGGGCGCCTTGTGGGAGGTGGGAGCCCTTTCAACTCCTGCTATTTAAAGGGGCCCAGGGCAGAGCAACTCTGCCTCGGGCTTCCTGTAGTCAGCTGCTGGTCAGTTACAGCAGCGGCTGAAGCTGGACACCAGTTCCGACTTACATACAGATTCAACTTAAGAACAAACCTACAGTCCCTATCTAATACGTAACCCGGGGACTGCCTGTACCTACAGTTTTTAGACACACAATTTGTTTCTACCATTGCAACACATTTATTTAAACAACTTAATCGTAGCTGGGTGGAGGATAACATTTTTGGGCATAAAAACTACAAAAATAATAAAACGTTGTAAAACTTAAAACAAAAATTCAGTTTTCTTAAAATTTCAATTGTTTTGATGTACCCCCCAGACTTCTCTTGAGTACCCCTGAGGGTACTCAAACCACTGGTTGAGAAAGCCTGCTCTAGTCAAATTACATTGGGTCTTGGGCATCAATAATTTTCTACAAGTGAAACCACTGAGCTAGAGTGATTCAGAGAAATGCAATACATTAATTGCCATTTAAATAGTATTCAATAGCCTTTATTTCAAATACAGTGCAACCAGTTTTGTGCAGACATTGGAGAACTAGTCTCCATTTTCAGGTCTAGCTAATTTCACTAACCAAACTTAAAGGAGAGGATGCTAGTCCAAACGGCCCACAATAGAATCTAGGGTGGAATATTTTTCACACCTAGACAAACCACGGTGAGTGTGTGGACCCATTACAAATTATGTGTCTCGTTCCCTTATAGGTAACAGCAGAGAACCTTTGATCATCCTGGAGAATTATGAGGACAATGGAATCAAAGTTGTATGCTCTTCTGAGCAGAGTGTTTCCAATGTGCAAGTGTTGTGGACAGATGGTAAAGGACACAATCTCACTGGAAACTCACATAGCTCAGATGCTGACACAGATTTGAATGATGCCAGAAGTTCTATCATTCTGAAATCAGGATCGGACAACTCCATCTCCTGCAACGTAATTGATAATGTGAGAAAGAACTCAGCCACATCTACAGTTGTAATTGCAGGTAAATGAGAACTTGAATCTGTGTCTCACCGGGGGTAAAAAACTCAAACCAAAACATGATGTCTTAAAATGATTCCAGGCTTTTTAGATTCAACAGTTCCCAACTCCCCAAGAAATCATCTTCTTGGATCTTTTCCTTGTCTTCTTTACACAGAACCACCTTTCACAGATATCGACAAGTAAAAGTGAAATTCTGTAAGCGTACATCTACACTTGCTCCCTAGTTTGAACTAGGGATGCAAATGTAGGCGACCGAAATTGCTAATGAAGTGGGGATTTAAATGTCCCGCGCTTTATTAGCATGATCTCGCCAGCGCGTTACTCCGATCAACAGCTGTTTGAAAAGTTAAAGTGCATGCCAGGACGCGTTAATTCGAACCAAACTCCTTGGTTCAAACTAACGTTACTCCTCAAAAAATGAGGAGTAACATTAGTTTGAACCAAAGGATTTGGTTCAAACTAACACATCCCAGCATCCACTTTCAATTTTGAAACAACTGTTGATCAGAGTAACGTGCCGGCGAGTTCATGCTAATGAAGCACGGGATATTTAAATCCCTGCTTCATTAGCAATTTCGGTTGCATACATTAGCATCCCTGTTCGAACTAGGGAGCAAGTGTAGACATACCCTAAAGTATTATTCATAATGCAACCCTTCCTACATATGGAGTTGCTTGGTAGAAATGAATTCCACCAGTTGGCAGCAGTATCTTTTTCTCAATTTCACTATTTAGCAGACTGATGGAGAATGCCATCTCTCTCTCTCTCTCTTTCTGAAGTAAAGTGGATGAGGTAATAACTTATGGGGCCAGATTTTGTTGGTAAAAAGACAGGATATGGAGTTCATACAGCACTCTTGCAAGATACTGAGAAGGTTTCAGATGAATATAGTGTGGAACAGATTGTTTAATATAAGAAGTTAACACGTTGCAAGAGATGATACAAAGTGAAGAAGGCAGTAAGCACCTCCGAAGTTATAGGGTGAAGGAGGATTAATGGCTTACAGATAGTTGTGATAAGCCATAAATCCAGAGTCTTTACTGAGACCAGGACTTAGGTTTAGCAAAGTTATGAATTTCAGTTCCCAGGCTTGTTTTTTGTGGGTGTTGTAAAGGTTTCCCTGAGAGGTCAGATATGGAGTCATCATCTTATGAAAAATATCCTCGTCCTTTATGATTTCTCTGAGGGTATGTCTACACTACCCCGCTAGTTCGAACTAGCGGGGTAATGTATGCATACCGAACGTGCAAATGAAGCCCGGGATTTGAATTTCCCGGGCTTTATTTGCATAAGCCGGCCGGCGCCATTTTTAAATGCCGGCTTGTTCGAACCCCGTGCCGCGTGGCTACACGCGACACAGGCTAGATAGTTTGGACTAGCAAGCCATTCCGAACTATCTGTACACCTTGTTCCACAAGACGTACAGATAGTTCGGACTAGCAAGCTATTCCGAACTATCTAGCCCGTGCCGCGTGTAGCCGCGCGGCACGGAATTCGAACAAGCCGGCATTTAAAAATGGCGCCGGCCGGCTTATGCAAATAAAGCCCGGGAAATTCAAATCCCGGGCTTCATTTGCACGTTCGGTATGCATACATTACCCCGCTAGTTCGCACTAGCGGGGTAGCGTAGACATACCCTGAGTGAATTCATTTGGGAACATGGCAACTGTCATTTTTTCACCAACATAGTGGTTATTGAGGCTTTTAATGCTCTGGGTAAGGTACACCACAGAAGCATATGTAGGACCCATGGGTCATCGAAGTGGTGATATCTGTCATTCTGGCAGGGTCCGGTGATCTTTGAATTGGTATCCTAGTCTGCATGGGGAGCTTGTGCTACTTTATGTTGGTGCCCTGAGACATGTGGAACCTTCTGATAATGAGCTTGGTGAGGCTGGAGGAGGGAGGAGTTGTTTAAAGGCATGAACTGATGATTCAGGAAGGATTTAGTTCAAGATGATGTCTCCAATAAGCATGGATTGTAACTATTTAAAGATATCCCTTAGTGGTTCCAGTGTGGATGAGTAGGTGATGACAGGTGCAGTAAAAATGGTTTTGGGTTTTTTTTCCCCATATTGAACTGGGTTCTCTCATGATATCTGAGTGGCTTGTTCCAGGAAGTGATCTACTTCTCTGGTGGAGTGTCATTATTTGGTGAAGGCAGATTTAAGTGTGTTATGGTGTTTACCTCAGAACATCTTTTGTGTTATCTGAACACGTGACTGTACAGAGGAGATTTGGTGTGTTTAGTGAATCTGTCAAGGTAGGTGTTGTGATCCATGTGTTTCTTGTTGGTAGTTGTCTGTAGTTGTTGAAGCTGATGTTGGTGTCTAGGAAATTCATGTGGGTGTGAGAATGTTCTAGAGAGAACAGTCTAATCTCTCTCTTGGTCTCTCTTCTGACCCTCAGCATAGTCTCTCTTAATGGAATTAGGAGCACAGCATGGGCTTTCCAAAGAAGCAGTGCTCCAAAATTCCTCAGACACATTTGAAAATCTCATCCCAGAGACCCAATCCAATTCACATAGAAGTCAATGCAAACACTTTCATTAGCTTCCAAGGTTGATGATTAAGACCTTGAAGTTGGGGTTTTCAAGAGTAACACAGCACTGAGAACTCCCTTCCCATTCAGATTAATGGGAGTTTTAGCAGTAACAGTGTTGGTCAATGCTGACCTGTTTTTGAAGATTCCATCTTGAGTGTTTACAACCTTTCTCAGGATGCTACTGGAAATCTTTCTTAAGGCAACCTCTGTTTCTATGCAATGCATGAATCCACACAAATAATACACTGATGTTTGTGTTTCTTACTCTCAGGGTGGCAGGGTAAGGGCCTATAGCAACTATCCACAACATCACTGAGAGCTGAATAGTCTTACAATGTAAATCTACCCCTTTGTGCAGAAGACAGTTCCCCAGTATGTCCTAGTGGGAATTAAGATCTCTGCTGCATCTTTTGAACATTTAATTTAGTGTTGTCATTTCTGAAAAGAAAGATGAATGACTCAAGAGATTAATGGACACTGTGATCTGCTTTGCAGATGTTTTCTTTCCTGCCACCTCCCCATGGATGGCTGCCTTCATCGTGATACTGCTGATTAGCATAGCCCTGGTTACCGCGGCCATTTACAAGCTGAAAAGTAAGTTTTCCTACTTGTATTATTTCAGCAAATGCTAAAGAGTCTAAACAGTGTGATATGAAAGAGCTTGGATTGAAGTTGTGGCTCATTCCTGTGTACCATCTATACCTCATGCATACCATCCAAAATTGCACAATGAGGCAGTTTGAGCTAGATTCACAATGGACTTTCAGGTGCTTGGCTAATCAATGGGATTCACAAAGTGCGAGTGAGGTGCCCGGGCTCCCTATACCGTGAGGCTGTGTCTAGACTACGTGGGTTTTTTCAGAAAAAGATAAGCAAATTGCAAACCACAATTTATGTATCTTTTTCTACTTCTTTTTCCGGAAGTGGCTTTTCCAACATTTGGCCTATCTACACTGGGCCAAATGTCAGAAACCCCCCCTTTTTTTGGCACATCCCTTCTTCCTCATAAAATGAGGTTTACAGGGATGCTGAAAAAATGTGTCTGCTTTTCTGATTTTTTTTTTTTTTTTTTGGAAGAGCTGACATGTTCCTTCGACACAGCCGAGTTTTTCTGGGAGACTTCTCAAGAGAAGAGGATAGCACAAGATGACTTTGACCACCATGCTGTGTTTTTTTTAATTAGATTTAGACAATGATAATACACAAGAACAGAGAGTTACAGGCAGCCTCTTGTCACACAGATGTCATGCAATCTGTAGAAAAAGATGAAACAACTACAAATGAGATATTACTTGTTACTATATTGTAAACTCCAACCTTTCTTCACATCTATTGACACTGAGCACAGTTTTGTGCACTAGGAAATGGGCTGAGTGGGAACACTGATTTCAGCTAGCTTATTAAACACCTACCACATTCACCACTGGTCTGCATCTAGATATGGTGTCTTTTATCTCAGTGTGATAGGTTTAATTTCTGAGTTGCCATGATTTTTGAGCACTAGTTTTAATGATTCATGTAGATCATATCTGACTTATGTGATGATCACATGAGAAATCCCACATTTCCAGTCCTGTGCTTTCAAACATGACACCTGTGCAGCATACCAAGTTATACTGTGAAGTTAAATATTCTCCTTTAAAAGGAAGAAAAAATAATTTATTTATTTATTTATTTATTTGCTTTTTCAGAAAATAATGAGACAACTGCTCTTGCTGGTAAGTCTCAATAAATATATTATTTACCTATCTCCATTTATTATGTAAATATTAAGCGCTACTGGTTACTTGAACAGTATAAATCCTGGGGCTGAATTTCCTTTTAAAATTTTTTTATCCAATTGATACTCTCACTTTGCAGTGGTGGGCTCTGAAAATTTAACATTTGTTCTAAAATACCTGCAAGAAGCAGTTCCAAAACTGGGTTCTGATAATAGTTGCAGGGCCGTTGTTAATGGTCCACAGAGAACAGACTAGTTGGCTCTCCTCCTTGTTTCTAGCTGCTAAACTGTATTAAAAGACAGATACAAATACATGAAATATCTCCCTAATCGTACTTTCCATAGAAATTGATACCGAGGTTGTGACAAGGGTATTACTTAATATTTCATGGGTGGGGGAGTTTGTGCTACTCTGAAAGGGAAGAAAGATGTTCATGGGACATGCTCTCAAGCAAGAAGTTGTCCATGGTAGGTTGGTCAAATGTTTTCTATCAAACCCTTTTTTTAATTAAACAATTTTTTCAGAAATTATAAATGATTTCAAAGACAATATATAATGCATAGAAATGGCAGCTGGCACCACAGGAGTAATCTGTGACTGGCGCCGCCACACTCCAGGTGGAATGAGCAATTGGTGCCCATGCCTCTTCAGCCCTCAATGGCATGACATTGTCATTGGACGCCCCGTTTAATGCGGCGCCCTAGGCAACGGCCTGAGTCAGTGTTGAACTATTGTGAGAATTAGAAAATAATTCCTAATATCTAGCCTAGACCTACAAGATGATTGCTTTCTGATCTATGTTAATGGACACAGACAGCAATTGATCACTATTCTCCTTATAACAATCTTTTAAAGACTGTTAATCTCCATTAGCTTCTCTTACCTAGTCTAAACACGTGCCTTTCTTTAAACCTTTCCTTGTATGTCATATGGAAAAAGGAGGCTGGATTAAGATTGCTCTTGCTTTCTTTTAATGTAATTTGAACGTAATATTTATATATTTTTGAAACTAGCTATTAATTCACTGATAATTATCTTTGAGATTTGTAATATATTTCTTTTTGTATGCAGTAAATGACAAGAAATGCATCGAAGACGGTAACTATAAAATACTATACGTATCCGTTTGATAATATTCCTGTACGTCTATCAGATCTAGTGAACCATAGTATCTGACAAATGCAAATTTTAATTTACTCATCAATCAGTCCAGATTTTTCTGAGCATAGCTCATAAAACAGAATATCTGTTTTACAACTTAATTGGGGATTGAGGTGTCTATAAAATGGAACATGTCAAAATGACAGTCCAACCAGTGCATAAGTTGCAGTGTGGGGTACATCAGTGCTTTCTGCTTGACTGTCTCACCATTCAAAGCAATTTCCTGTGCAATTACAGCACCAAGACATAAAGGAATATCAACATGTTCCTCACTGATATCACATTTGTTGTGTTTTTTTTCTTAATTGGGAAAAATGGTTTGTATAATTAATAATTCACAAGATTGGTGACTGTAAAATTGAGGTTCCACTCTATGTGAAAATAGATGCCAGATATTTCAAATGAAGAACTGGCAATTTATGAAAGTCCTCTGTCTACAATTGGTATTTGGCAATCATGCACCTAAAGGGAGTGATGAGCATGATCAAGGAAGAAGTAGAAGGGATATCATTGCACAGGATGAGAATTAACAACTTGAGGTTTGTGGATGATATACTTACCATTGAGGAAGATGAAGAGAAGCTAGTGAGAACAGTGCAGGCACTAAATGAGGAAGGGAAGTGGTATGGACTAATTATGAATATCAATAAAATGAAGACTGGTATTTGGAGATAAATAAATAGGAAGGAAGATCAGTGTAGTTGGGATTGAACTAGAGAATGTAGAGAAGTTCACATATTTGGGAAGCAACATGATGTATGATCTAGACATAATCTAGACTGTAAAAAGGAAATAGCAACTAGAATAGCGAAAGCAAGACTGAGTTTGAAGGTCATGGATAAGATCTGGAAAAGTAAAGCAATTAACTTGGGAACGAAGCTGAGCGTCTCGAAAACGCGTGTATTTAGCAGCATGTTGTATGGATGTGAGACATGGGTGATAATGAAAGATTCAAAGAGAAGTATATTGGCATTCAAGAGGAGTTGTCGTAGAAAGATCCTGAGAATAAGATGGATGCAAAAGGTCATCAATGAGGAATTATATAGGAAAGTACAGCCAAAAGAGAACCTACTGCAGAAAGCTATACAAGGGAAGTTACAGCTATTCGGGCATATCTGCAGAATGAACAACAAGCAAAAAGTTAAGACCTTGGTATTCAGCATAATGGATTGTCTGAATGGGAGAGGCAGACCTCACAGAGAATGGGTAGATGATATAGTAGATTGGTGTGGAGCTAGTCTACAGAAACTAAGCCACTCCTCACTGGACAAGGAAAGATGGAAGAAAATAGTGAAGGAGGCTTTGGACACCAACGGGCATTGAGCCCATGATTGTTGACAATTATGATGATAGAGTGTTTGAGTTAGATCCACTCAAGTCATGCTGTTCTGTTTATATTTGAAAACTCATTAAGCAAAGCTTTTTAGAAAGCTTGATTAGGTGTGATATATGTCTGACCGCGTAGTGCTGTCCATCTCTGAAGTTTTGAATAAGTTTTAAACATGGGCAAAGATTTTAAACATGATCAAATTGAACAAGATCCCTAGTTTTTGTCAACTGTTTGCACATATGACCTGCTGGCATGAGACCAGCTCTGAGATCTGTGTCTGGTTTTTATGTATATATTTTCTACCTACCGTCGATATCTGCTAGATTTTCAAAATACCAATTGCTGGATGTTACATGGATTGGAAAAAAATATTAGTCCAAGTCCCAAAAGTTGGGATCATTGTCAGTGCTGAATTACCATCAAATCAGGGATATGGACAAAGGGTTTTGATTGTTAGAAAGGTAAAATGTGTGTGCTCCAGCCCCACGGTGTAACAGTGTCTGTGTGTGTGGGGGGGGGAGGGGAAGGGGTGTGTAGAGTGCCTGTACAGGCTCTCTAATGCTTGGGAGGGAGTCCCAAGCCTCAAAGGTCAGATCTAAGCAAGCCAGGGGCTACAGGTTCCCCACCTCTGCCTTAAGATACCAGATCCTCAAAAGGTCCAAAATGGTGCAGCTCCATTGTGAAGTTATGTCAATTTACTCTAATAATGGAGCTATATAGATATACACCCACTGAAAATCTGACCTCTAGCATTAAATTCAAATAGTGCCCATCTAGGTGTAAATAAAATATTCCTAACATTTAATTTACACCGTTTTAAATAGAAATATTGGAGGCATCTGATAAAAGCCTCCGAACTAAATAATATGAAAATGTTTTCCTGCTGTAATACTAAGATATATTTTTTCTTTCAGAAATATTGAGGCTCAAAAAAGAAGAGGGTAAGAATGTATTTTAGCTTCATTAGAATAATAGAAATCCTAGGGCTGGAAGAGACATCAGGAGTCATTGAGTCCAGCCCCCTGCCCAAAGCAGGACCAACCCCAACTCGATCATCCCAGCCAGGGCTTTGTCCAGCTGGGACTTAAAAAACTCTAGGGATGGAGATTACACCCCCTCCTTAGGGAACCCATCCCAGTGCTTCACCACTCTTCTAGGGAAATAGTTTTTCCTAATATCCAACCAAGACCTCCCCCAGTCTAATTTGAGACCATTGCTCCTTGTTCTGCATCCGTCACTACTGAGAACAGCCTTTTTCCATCCTCTTTGGAACCTCCCTTCAGGAAGTGGAAGGCTGCTATCAAATCCACCCTCATTCTTCTCTTCTGCAAACTAAACAAACCCAAATCCCCCAGCCTCTCCTCATCAGTCATATGCTCTAGCCCCCTAATCATTTTAGTTGGCCTCTGTTGGACCCCCTCCAATGCATCCACATCCTTTTTGTAGTGGGATCCTCAAAATTGGATGCAATAGTCCAGATGTGGCCTCACAAGTGCTAAAAAATTATTTACTCTACTAGGTAGGTGTATGCTTTGCCAGCAGTAGTCAACATGTCCAAGACAAAATATTATAACATCAATATACAGAGGCTCCAGTTAAGAGTGAGACAGTTGTTACATTCTAGGGTTTTTTCAACAGACCCAAAGGGAGTAGGGCACCCAGTCAGGGATTTTCAAAAATTAATCCAAGGTTAATTAGGAGCAAAAGCCCCACTGGCTTCTCTTGAGATCTGTGCTAAATTGCTCAAGCTCAGATCCCCAAAGGTATTTAGGCTCCTAATTTCCATTGGACTGTAGGCATTTTTTAATCTTCTCATGTCTACCATTTCAATGGGAATTGGACATCTAACTCTTTAAAAAGTGTCTTTTCACAATCCCAGTGAAATCCTTCCCACAAAATGCCAGCTGAATTTGAATTTCTTATGCTTGGTGATAGCATTTGAAATGTTGAATCCTACTCTCACCCAGCTCAGCTACCTTCCCGTTTAAACTATAGGGTTACGTCTACACTGCAGGCTTCCTGTACAAGAACTGTTTTGCACAAGAGTTCTTGTGCAAAAGGTGTTCCACAAGAGCACGTCCACACTGCCATGTGCTTTTGTGGAAGAGATGTGCTTTTGTGCAAGAGTGTCCATGGCAGTGTGGATGCTCTCTTGCACAAGAAAGCTCTGATGGCCATTTTAGCATCTTGCGCAAGAAAATCATGTTGCCTGTGTACATTGCCTTCTTGTGGAAGAGCTCTTGTGCAAGAAGGCTTATTTCTCATTAGGAGAGGAATAACCTTTCCAGAAGAAGCCCTGTTTTCTGACGCTGTACTGTAAATTTACTTGTGCAAGAACGCATATGCAGTGTAGACAACTGGCAAGGTTTTATGCAAGTGTTCTTGCGCAAAAAGCCTACAGTGTAGACCTAGCCTAGGAGTGTGTCTACGTATCAGGGCTTAACTAAACATAAACAACGCAAGTTGAGCTATTGCAGTTGTGTAGTTTATTTTGAAATTGGGAGCATCTACACAGCACTTATTCCGAAATAGAGCACTCTTCCCCAGAAATTCCCTTACTCCTTGTACAATAAAGGGCTGTGTCTACACTGGCACCCTTTTCCGGAAAAGGGATGCTAATGAGACACTTCGGAATTGCAAATGCCGCGGGGATTTAAATTTTCCCCGCGGCATTTGCATGAACATGGCTGCCGCTTTTTTCCGGCTCGGGGCTTTGCCAGAAAAAAGCGCCAGTTTAGATGGGGATCTTTCAGAAAATAAAGCCTTTTCTGGAAGATCCCTTATTCCTCTTAAAATCAGGAATAAGGGATCTTCCGGAAAAGGCTTTATTTTCCGAAAGATCCCCGTCTAGACTGGCGCTTTTTTCTGGCAAAGCCCCGAGCCGGAAAAAAGCGGCAGCCATGTTCATGCAAATGCCGCGGGGAAAATTTAAATCCCCGCGGCATTTGCAATTCCAAAGTGTCTCATTAGCATCCCTATTCCGGAAAAGGGTGCCAATGTAGACACAGCCTAAGGGTTACAGTAGTCAGAGTAAGAAGCCCTCCAGCTTGACAGTATTTTGACATTATTTATTGAAATAACTTCCCAGTGTATAGAAGCAAACTATGTTATTTTGAAATAACACCTGTTATTTTGAAATAATGTTGCTCTGTAGACATACCCCAGGAGATGTATAATGATTTAAAGCCGAACAAACCTGCCTGTGTCACTTGGGTCCCATATATTTTAGAGGTAAGTTTTTTCAAAACCACTTAAAACAGGGTTGGTGAAACTGTTTTGGGTTGGGGGCCACAGAAAAATTAGTTGGGGATGGCACACAAGTGAGAAGCAAAAAACAAAAACAAAAACAAAACCCTCCCTGTGGCACCCAACTAAGAAGGTGAAAGACACTCCCCACATTTCTCTCTCATACCAGAGAGCCTCGGGGGGCCCAGTCTAATAGATTTTGTGTCCTCCAGCCCCACAGTGGGTCAATGGGGCGACTGGAGCACCAACATGTGCTCTCCACTGACTGGGGGGCCCTGAGTATTGAGGGCCGGATCTAGGCAAGCTGAGGGCCACATCTGGCCACTGGGCCTGAAGTTTCCCATCACTGACTTAAAAGATGTAGAGGTAAAAGTTCCATTGAGAAATCTCCAATGACATTAATTATATAAAAAAGAAATGATGTGTGACTACGCAAAATGGCCGTCCCATTAGAAACCAAGCTCCACACTGGGTTCAGGAACAGGTCTGTGCAGCAGGGCAGTAGAACAATGCTAGATGGATATTAGCGTACTCACCTTTGCTCAGCCTCTGAACAACCCCAGGCCCACAGTCAAAAAGCCTTATCTATGCACCACTTCTTCCCCAGCATCATTTAGCTCTCCCCCAAATTGTTAAAATTGGAAACTAAATCCTTGCCTGAGTCTGGGGTCCCCTCTAACTTGGAGGTTCATCAAGGGAACAGCTGGCTCTGTAGCAAACAGAAGGCTCCAGATCGTTAATTGCTTGGGTTCCAGTTCTGACCATCTTCTCAGCCCTTCATGTCCTTTGTTAACAGAACTGGTTGGGAGTTTTCCAGTGAAGTGTTTTTTAATTGAAAAATGCTGATTCATTAAAAGCAAAACTTTTCATTGAACTGTGTCAGTTTTGACAAAGTTTTAGTTGAGAGGTTCCTCAAATCCAACATGCGATTTCTGGAGGAAACCCCAGAGAAATCCCATGGTCAGTAGCCTGGTGGTTAGAGAACTCATCTGGCATGAAATAGGCAGAACACAGACTGGACACTGTATTTGTTGCATCCTATTAGAGGGCCCTAACAGCTAGGCCGTTGGCTACCATAGAGTGAGTTTATGTGTAGATGTGTGTGTGTGAAATCTCAACAGGCTTAGGCTTTCACTCCAACAGAATGTGAAAGTTTTTAAAATCTTGAAAATTCTCACAGGATTTCCCACCCAGCCCTACTTGCCAATAATTCGAGTGAGGACACAGTGGGAGAAGGCACAGAAAAGGCTGAAATCCAAATTTTCAGGAACTGCAGCTTCCCCCGATAGTTTTCAGCAGTTCTACTGGCTTCTTTTGACCTAGACGAATTCACTTCTGATGGACTTGGAAAATAAACCAAAAGAGGCCTAGATCTGAGCTCTTTTGAGGATGATGTGTGTGTCTGGCTGGAATAAAGAATGTGAGGACTGTGTCAGTGTAGCTAGAGGAATCATTAGCAAATTAATAGTGAGAACTGTCAGGGCACTATTTCTAAGGAAAAATGTATGTCATTTTTCTCTGCAAAAGCTTGCATTCCCCCCTTTCCCTTCCCCTTCCCCTCCCCCCAACGGATGTATTGCTTGCAAATGTTACAGAAAGATGGGGAAATTGACAGCTCAAAGATGATGTAAAATGCTTAAAGGCCTGTATATCACTCTGAATCTGAAGGCTGAAATTTTCAATCAGCCTGTGGTGTTTGGATGCCTGATTTAATTTTAATGAGAATTAGGCATGCACATTCCATAGGCATATTTGCAAACCTCTGTCAAAATGTTTCCACTGTCATATCTCTGAGTTTGAGGTCTAATATAACCTCTGTCTTGTTACTCTTCAGTAACCTCTTCCTTTTATTTTGCAGAGGATCAGAAGAAAAAAGCTCAAAGTGGTAATTCCATCTCTTACCATTGCATATTTATACCATCTTGTTAGTCCTTAAAGTGCTACATAGTCCTGCATTTTGCTTCAGCTACACCAGCTAACACGGCTACATTTCTATTACTAAAATTAGAGATTTCTTTCCATCTTGGGCATGGAGGCTTCTTTTGAACTGGTGTAACTATCTTTTTTTGGACTCTGTGTAAACTCAAAAGCTTGATTCGTCAACAGAAGTTGATCTAATAAAAGATATTACCTCACCACTTTGCCTCTGACCAAAACAGCTACACCAAGGCTTTGTCTATACTGCGAGTTTTTGCATCACAAAATATGCTAATGAAAGACTCATTTCCATGAGTCATGATATCATTAGCATATTTTCTGCTGTTTCTTTTTATAGAAGGGGTTTTTGTGCAAAAAGAAGCAGTGTAGCCACTTCCATTTTGTGCAAAACCCCCGTTTCTATGCCCGGAGCAGCATAAGGATCTTGCACAAAACAGGGTTTTTGCAAAACTCTGCTTCTTTTTGAGCAAAAAACCTTTGTACAAAAAGAAATGGCAGAAAAATGCTAATGATATCACGACTCATGCTAATGAGTTCCTCATTAGAATATTTTCTGCTGCAAAAACTCGCAGTGTAGACATAGCCCAACAGTGCAAACTAAGAAAATAAGGTTATTATACACACAGGAGCAGCTCGAGGAGAGCTGCTGGCAACTGGCATCGTAGGCAGAATGCGTGATCGACGCCCCTACCTCCATAGCCCTCAATGGCATGACATCATCATTGGGCTCCGCGTTTAACGCGGCATCCTAGGCAACTGCTGAGCTTGCCTGCATCCACGGGCCGCCCCTGTATACACAAATGATGATCAGAGAGATAGATAAAAATTTTAGAATGCTTTGCTTTTTATAAAAAAAAAAGAGCAGAAAATACTGATGAAAATGTTAATCACAATTTTTTGGAGGTGACAGGGGAGCATTTCAAAAAATCCTGATGAGATCAATTGTGATTTCCAACAAAAATCATTTACATTTTATGTTTTGAAAAATGAAAATCTACACAATTGTTCTGACTATTTTCACCACCTCTAGCTGAGACCCACAATAAATAAGAAAATGTAATCTGAAGATATCATTTTCTAGTCCTCAAGAGCCAAATAATAACTCAAACACTTAGCACCAATAGAAGGGAATCACTTACCAGATAAATTGCACTTAGTGCACATATCAGAAAGGGATTGTCTGAAAAAAGCAGCACAGCATATAACTCCATATGCTAGGGTTTTCTGCCTATAACTGCGGTTTATACCTATGTTAGCTGAATCTATGTATTCTGCAAACCGATGTAAGTACAGAACTAGAGCAAGCGTTTGCGAGAGACAAATATCTGTCAAATGTTGGTTTCTACTCACAGATGAATGCATTCTGCACTCCCACAAACCCACCTCCGCAATGTATGTCTGTTATATTAAAATTTTCTGTTTACTTAGGTTCACAGTCTGACTTCTTTTTTGGTTAAAATTTAATTTTGTTTTCTTGCAGAAATTCAGGAAATAGAAGAAAAGTATAGTGAGTATTTCACTGGAATAGTTTCAATTAGCTCTAGTCTTTAGCATCTTCAACCAACTCTAATCTTTAACATCGTCCTGGTAATAAATTCATCCTAGCTATCTGGCCACTTAGGGGATAGCTAGCTCCCTTGTTCGTCATTTTTTCCCTGTTTTCCTTCTCTGTAGTCTTAGATTCCAAGGCCAGAAGAGATCATTGTGCTTTTCTTATCTGACCCCCAGAGCATAACATAGTCCAGAAAACTTTTCTCAAATCCATATAGCTTTTAGCTCTTTTTCCATAAGTGAGTAAATACAGGTAAAAATACACTATGTCAAAAATTCTGAATTTTAAAGCATGTAAATCAGTACGTCAAATCCGAACAAATCCAGGACTAGATTTAAAAATACATATTTACTCTGTAAAGATGAGATAAGTAAGTAGGCACTTCTGAAAATGCTGCTAGGAGCCTCACTCTCATTGAAACCAATGGGAATTAGACATCTAACCTCTTTTTCAAAATCCAATCCTTCTATCTAGCTGCAGTGTTTAATACAATTATAAATCTGACTCTCACTCTCTTATTACATTATTTTCACTTAGGTAATCTCCCGTTGTTTAAATGCAGCATGGATTTAAAAATTTAGCTACATTTTTGTGCATAGTTTAGTTTGTATGAAGAAGACACTGAACATAATATAGTAGAGGTCCTATTGCAGCTCATACGGCAAAAAGACAAACATATAGGGTATGTCTACACTTGCACCCTAGTTCAGACTAGGGATGCAAATGCAGGTATTCAAAATTGCTAATGAAGCGGGGATTTAAATATCCTGTGCTTCATTAGCAAGATCTTGCCAGCGCTCTTGTTCAAATCATAGCTGATTTGAACGGGGAAGTGTGGACGCGTTAGTTCAAACCAAACCCCTCCTCAGTAACATTAGTTCGAACCAAGGGGTTTGGTTCAAACTAACGTGTCCTAGCACGCACTTCCTGGTTCTAATCATCTGTGATTCGAACTAGCGCACCAGCGAGATATTGCTAATGAAGTGTGGGATATTTAAATCCCCGCTTCATTAGCAATTTTGAAAGCTTGCATTTGCATCCCTAGTCCAAACTAGGGTGCAAGTGTAGACTTACCGTAAGATCCAACTCTGCAAAGATTTAGACAGATGATGAAATTTGTATTTAACACTATGGAATAACTCACAGCAACTACACTGAAGCATGGATTTAGATTTTTGCAGGTTTGGTTTCTTAGAAACTGATCCTTACAGAGCTGTGTAGAGGGGACAGATTTCCTACAATACAGAATTAACAAATGAATAATGCACATGTATAATATAGTAATCTTTTTCTATTTCAGAAAAAGCCATGGCTGAGCTGGGTGAGTTGAAAGGCCATGATTAATATTACACTTTGTCTAGTCATCTGTTGCATGGTTGAATATAATTTGTTGGGGGAAAGTCAACATGGTTTCTGTAAAGGGAAATCATGCATTACTAATCTGGAAGTATTTCACCTAGAGTTCTTTGAGGGGGTCAACAAACATGTGGACAAGGGGAATCCAACTGATAGAGTGTACTTAGATTTCCAGAAAGCCTTTGACAAAATCTCTCACCAACAACTCTTAAGTAAAATAAGCTGTCATGGGATAAGAGGGAAGGTCCTTTCATGGATTGATAACTTGTTAAAAGACAGGAAACAAAGGGTAGGAATAAATGATAAGTTTTCTGAGTGGAGAAAGGTAACTAGTGGGGTTCCACAAGGGTCTGTCCCGGGACTCATCCTAGTCAACTTATTTATGAATGATCTAGAGAAAGGGGTAAACAGTGAGGTGGCAAAATTTGCAGATGATACCAAACTGCTCAAGATAGTTAAGACCAAAGCAGACTGTGAAGAGCTTAAAAAAGATCTCACCAAAGTAAGCAATTGGGCAACAAAATGGCAAATGAAATTTAATGTGGATAAATGTAAAGTAATGCATATAGTAATAACCCCAACTATATATGATGGGGACTAATTTGCCGAAAACTACTCAAGAGAGAGATCTTGGAGTCATTGTGGATAGTTCTCTGAAGTAATAACCCCAACTATATATGATGGGGACTAATTTGCCGAAAACTACTCAAGAGAGAGATCTTGGAGTCATTGTGGATAGTTCTCTGAAAACATCCACTCAGTATACAGCTGTAGTGAAATAAGCAAATAGAATGTTAGGAATCATTTAAAAAGGGATCAAGAGTAAAACAGAAAATATCGTATTACCTCTATATAAAACCATTGTATGCCTACATATTGAATACTGCATTCAGATCACCTCATCTCAAAAAAGATATATTGGCATTGGAAAAGGTTCAGAAAAGGGCAACAAAAATTATTAGGGGTTTGAAATGGGTCCCATATGAAGAGAGATTTAAAAGACTTGGACTTTTCAGCTTAGAAAAGAGAAGACTAAGTGGGGATATTATAGAAGTCTATAAAATCATGACTGGTATGGAAAAAGTGAATAAGGAAAAGTTATTTACTTATTCCCACAATAAAAGTACTAGGGGTCAACAAATGAAACTAATAGGCTGCAGGTTTGAAACAAACAAAAGGAAATTTTTCTTCACTCAGCGCACAGTCAGCCAGTGGAACTCCTTGCCAGAGGATATGGTGAAGGCTAGAACTTTAACAGGGTTCAAAAAAGAGCTAGATAGATTCATGGAGGTTAGGTCCATCAATAGCTACAAACCAGGATGCGTAGGAATGGTATCCCTAGCTTCTGTTTCCCTGGAATGACGGGGAGGGATCACGTGAGTATTATCTGTTGTGATCACTCCCTCTGGGGCACCTGGCATTGGCCACTATCAGCAGACAGGATACTGGGCTAGAAGGCCCTTTTGTCTGACCCAGTATGGCCGATCTTATGTTCTTATTATTTGAATTTAAAATAAGATATATGCTATATATAAAATTCTGAATTCTCTTTATTTTGTTATAGACTTCAGGAGGGCTCGTAGCAATGCAGGTAATTCGCCTTTTATCTGGAATTATATCCAAGTTATTTTCTGAAGTTTAATATTTTGATTAAATATTTAAGGTGTCCTGAGATCTGAAAGGAGAAGTAAAAAAAAACCCCAAAAATGTGTCTACTCAGCAGCCCTGAAGGGCAATGTGACTGGGATTTGATTAGCCACCTAGCTGCAGAAGAAAGGAACAATATTTGTTGATAAAAGAATTGGTGACTGTGTCTGAAAATAACTTTTGGACATGCAGTAAAATGCAGTTTCCAATCTACTGAAACGATTGACAAATTGGTATTGAGTTAGCTGAAGAATTTCAATTGTATTGAAAAAGTCAAAATGTTTCATTTCAGTCTGAAAAACATATGTACATGTTCAGGCATTTTGACAGAAACAAAGGAAAGGGGGACTAGAGTCACCAAATGGCTGAAGGAAAAAAAGCCTGGTGCCTCTCTTATGCCATGTCTTCACTCAGCGGAAGACTGACGCTGCTGTGATCAATCTTCCGAAGTTCGGTTTAGTGGGTCTAGTTAAGACCTGCTAAATTGAACTAGGAGGGTGCCCCCATTGGTGCTGGTACTACCACTCCTGCGAGGAGGAAAGAAAGCCTCCAAAAGCACTTGCTCCCATCAGCTTCCATTGTGGGGATGGCAGGGAAACACGAAACAAAGTATGTCAACTTCAGCTATGTAATTAACTCGAAATAAGTTAGTTAACTTATTAATTAACTTTCAATTGCGTAGCTTATTTTGAAATTGAGAGCTTTTACACAGCACTTATTTTGAAATAGGGCACTCTTCCTCTGACTTCCTTTACTTCTCCTACAATGAGGGTTACAGGAGTCAGAGTAAGAAGTCCTCCACCTTGACAGTATTTCAACATTATTTTGAAATAACTGCCGGCTGTGTAGACCAGTGTTTCCCAATTTTATTTGGTTACTTTCACTTTGTGGAACCTCAGGGTTCTGCAGAGCACTGTTTGGGAAACACTGGTGTAGATGTACCCTATGGCTTGTTGAAGAGAATGGATGCATGTTTGGGTCCCCCATTTTAGAGAAAAGCACAACCTGTGCTGGGCTATGAAATGTGGCTTCAGTCTCTCCTTTGTTCCATGTTTTATAAATAATTAACAAGTAATTGGGTGAGGGACTTTAACTTGGGACTCCTAGATCTTAATTACTAGGCTCCAGCTACTCCCACTCTTCTTGTCTGGCCCATTAACTATCCATTGTCATCATGTATGACTATGGATTACCAGTGTGAAGAAGATTCTTAGCATCCAGTGCCCCTGCTATTAAACGTGTAATAAACTTTATTGATATCCATGGATCAGGCGAGTAATGACAGCAGGAGTAATGTGTTAGCACCCATTACATTCAACAGAAGTTGCATCGCTAAATCAATTTTTCCTGCAGAATCTTTTGAAATTTCTCCATTCCTTTAGAACACTATGGCTTTTCTCCTAGGGTGTGTCTAGACTACATGCCTCCGTCGATGGAGGCATGTAGATTAGACAGATCGGCAGAGGAAAATGAAGCTGCGATTAAAATAATCGCGGCTTCATTTAAATTTAAATGGCTGCCCCGCTCTGCCGATCAGCTGTTTGTCGGCAGATCGGGGCAGTCTGGACGCGCCGCGTTGACAAAGAAGCCTTTCTTGATCGGCACAGGTAAACCTGGTTTCACGAGGCATACCTGTGCCGATCAAGAAAGGCTTCTTTGTCAGAGACAATGGCTTCCAAGAAAATGAATAAAATAAATAAGCAATGTTAATATGGGATGATCAATTGTGATTGGTCCTGCTTAGGGCAGGGGACAGGACTCAATGGTCTCCTGAGGTCTCTTCCAGCTCTCGGATTCTATGATTCTACAATTCTATGAACTGTGCTGTCACACTAGGGGTACGTCTAAACTACATGCCTCCGTCGACGGAGGCATGTAGTTTAGACGTACCCCTAGTGTGACAGCACAGTTCATAGAATTGTAGAATCATAGAATCCGAGAGCTGGAAGAGACCTCAGGAGACCATTGAGTCCTGTCCCCTGCCCTAAGCAGGACCAATCACAATTGATCATCCCATATTAACATTGCTTATTTATTTTATTCATTTTCTTGGAAGCCATTGTCTCTAGATATCTTATGTCACAGTTCAGGGCTTCTGTACTTGTATGCCTTATGCATTGTTCCTTATAGACTCCTTCTATAAGCTCCTGGCTTCTTAACACCATGCTTGTACAGAGACCCATGTCTCTGTCCTGAACAGAGATTTTAGAGGCTTCACAGCTCCCTGCCTACACTTGCCATGCCCAGCAAGTCAGAGTCCCTGAATAAACCAGCATCTGCACTTTAAAGAGAAAGCAGACTCTATAAACAGCTGTAATTGCTCAAAGCCATATGTTATCACACACCTCTTTTTAAGGGTATGTCTATACTGCACCCTTAGCTCAAAATAAGATAAGCAATTTGCACCATGCAAATTGTGTATCTTATTTCGTTTCCTTTTCAAAATAGGCTATTTAGAAATGTGGCGCATCTACGCAGCGTCAAATTTTGAAATAAATCACTATTTTGAGATATCCCTTATTCCTCATGGAATGAGATTTACAGGGATGCTGAAATAGCACATCCTCTATATCCGTGGTCCCCAACACGGTGCCCGCCAAGTGCTGAGGCCTGGCATGGCCCCGGGCACGTGGTGCATGCGCGGTGCCGGAGCCGGCCCCGGGTGCGTGGCGCACGGTGAGCGCCGGCCCCGGGGGCACCGCGGATTGACCCCCCGCGGTGCATGGGGGGGGAGAGAGCGCCAGCGCCGGCCCCGGGAATGCAGCTATGGGGGGGGGCCACTCGGGGAGAGCGCCAGCCCTGGCGCGCGGCGCTTGAGGGAGGGAGG